TGGAGTCTACTGTTTGCTTGACTCAATTATATCTTCAATCTATCTGCATATCTCTTCTATCTATCTGCCCGATCGCGCTTGTTTTTCTCGCCCTCTTTTTTAGTATATAAGCCTGGCACCTTGAACAAACTAGAGTTGCCAGGAAAATTCATGATCTTTCCAGAAACTCCAGCAAGCATGCTCCCAGTATCGCGTGATTTCTGCTGTCATAACAATACTAAATTTATTGTGATTATTATATTGTTCACCTGTACTAAATTTGACAGTTATACAATATAATAAACACAGTGCAGTAACTAAAGTGTATATTGTCATGTATTTTTACAGAAACTGTAGTACATACTGGAAGGATTCACACAATTTGGCAATAAAGTTGGCTTATTTTAGCCAAGATTTTGCTGTTGCAATTTTATCAGGGCTAGTATTACAAGAACAAGCTGGAGAGTAAAAGTATTTTTTTTTTACCTAACTTTATTGCTGAACAGTTTTTACAGGTAAACTAATCTCAGTCATTATAATCACAACACAGTTACTAAAGTGTGGAATTAAAAAGTCTTGGTCTTACTATAAAAATGATACCTTATATGTGTATGTCTGTGCATTAACAACCATCACCCAGAATTGGGTGGCACAATTACCATACTTTTTTTGTACAGTAACTGGAAACTTCCTGACTGTGTACATGGGTTATTCTGTTTCAGGATTTTGCCTGCAAAGGAGGATAAAAAAAAAACTCTTAAAATAGGGCACATTTCTATTTTTTTATAGACAACCATCACCCAGAATTGGCTGGCACAATTACCATACTTTTTTTGTAAAGTAACTGGAAACATCCTGATTGTGTACATGGGCTATTTTGTTTCAGGATTTTGCCCGAAAAGGAGGATAAAAAAGCTCTTAAAATAGGGCACATTTCTATTTTTTTATATACTTTTGGCTTTCATCACCCACAGTTGACTGACTCAATCACTGTACTTCTTATATGGTAACTGGATGCTATCTGATGGTGTACATGGGTTACTTTGTTTTAGGATTTTTTCCTGAGAAGAGGAATAAAAAAAACTCTGAAACAGAGCTCATTTTCATATTTTTTAAAATACACTTTTGACTTTGAATTTAAAAACACTAGTACTTAATTCAGTTAAATGAGTCAATTATTACCTTCCACAAAGCAGGGTATGCAATTAGCATCTAATGAGGTCACTTTATCTAACATTGTCCTTTCTACAATTTTTGCTTCTTTAACGAGTACCCTCAGATATTATAGACAAGTTATGTAACAAACACAGTACAGTTATAAAGTGTTGAAATGTCAAGCATTAGTACACATAAATTATGTAACAATCACAGTACAGTTACTAAAGTGTTGAAATGTCAAGTGTTAGTATAAGAAAAGTGAAGACTATATAATTATAATCTAAGTACAGTTAGTTTAGTGTAGAATCATCAAGAGTTAGAGTATAGCTAAACTAAAGACTAAATCATTGTAATTCCAATGCAGTTATTACAGTGTCAAATCGTACAGGTAAATTAAAAAATACATCACAGTTAATTTACATTTTAAATCTAATAACACAAACTGTACTTATTCACAGTAATAAAAGTACATCTGAAACATTATTACACGTTCTATAGGTTATGCAACTAACTAACCAACCTACAAATATTTAGAACCTAAGCTGATCTCTATTTTATATGTTACATGGTTAATTGTCTTTCCTTAAACCCCAAGTGCTGACAAATTTCAATTTACAATACTAGTAGCTAAGTCTATATAACAAAGCCAGATGATTAGTAGAATTTGATAATTGATTAATTGTGGACAGCATTCAACTAGTTGATTATTCTCATGAGATTTCAATATTTGGAATAATAAAAAAAACGAATAATTGGAAACACTAATTTTGATTAAACTGAATAATCCTTAACTCATCAAAAAGAAGAAAGAGATATTATAAATGGAGTATTTTGATCACTTACATAGTTGGAATAACCAGAAACACTAATTTTGATTAGTTGATTATTTTGTGACATTAATCAAGATAGTTGTAATTTTGACAAATCAGTTATTTTATGTGACACTAATCAGTGTAATAGATGCTCATACGTGAAAGATTATATCGATCAATCAAGTTAATTTCCCAGCTCCACAATGTAATATAAGCACTGTTATATTACAAACCCTACATTTTACTTTTCTTGATGCACATTTACATAAAAAAACATATATGTTGTACAATACATATTATTACTAAAAACAATTTTATATATTTATACAAGTTTAGCAAACTTTTTGAAAAAAAATGTGTACTCCTAGAAAAACAGATATTACATTATCAAAGCTATAATCCTCACCTGTAGCCTTTAACCATGCTTCCATTCGTGTCCTAGTTTGAGTCAAGCCTTCAAACTTAGGCATCAAGATACCAGAGGTGAGCTGAACTGGTAGAAATGTTTTACATGTGAGCTGCAAAGATGGTGTTGAAAGAATCCCAGAGTCAAAATAAGCTTTTGCATATGTTACTCTAAGAATGCGTAAATAGGAGGTAGTTTTTCCTGCATGTTCTGTATATGATGTTCTTTGAGTGTCAAAAGCTTGAGAACCTCCTGGAGGTGGGTATAAAATGATTAACTTCATTATACTCAAATTACAGATACATATTTAATTTTATAAAATTTACTTTAACTAAAATATTCATACTTCGAGAGATATTCAACAGTCAGTCTACAAAAGTTATTTTCTATTATTGGTTGTTGTAATGAAAATTATATTCAAGGACAAAAAAAAATTCATGACCTAACTTTTCCTAACAACAACATGATCAAACTGTAAATTTACTATTAAATTTAGGATCCCGGTTTACAGTATAATGATAGTTATATAATTACAGGGAATTTCATACTTCAATTCAATCAAGTTATATTTTTTGATAAATTATACACGCAATAAACGTATTCTTTTCTTTGTTGTTAAATTTGAAATACTATTACATCCATTTCCTAGTCACAGTAACCTTCAGACCAGTTATGTTGGAATTTTTGTGTGCGATACTGTAGTACTCATGGCTAGGTATAACATGGTGCAATACAGCAAATATGTTTTGTGGTAATAGATCACAAACATTTGTTAAATCACTGGAGTCAAATGTATAATTTTAAAATTCATATACACACTTTAATTTGCAAATAAATCAATTTTTAAAAGCTGGAAAATCCAGTCATAGTATAGATGTGAAATTTGTCATTCTCACAACTACTCCAATTATTTAGTTAAATTGTATTACATGTACTTACCCCGTTTCATCTTTATTTCAACAGATTGTACATTGCAAAAGCGAATTCCTTCTTGTTGAGCACACCATTGTGAAGCCTTTGATATCACACTAGAGAACAGTTCAAAAGTAGGAAGGGTAAAAATGCCTCCTTCGGACAATGTTGCTGGCACAAAATCAGCAACCCCTAGTAGAAAAAGAAATATAAATGTAAACCCATATTTCAGATTCCTCTTCAAAACTATTTCTCAAGAAATGAATTTATCTGTTGAACTGAAATCTCACATTCAATGAAACCCTTTATTTATTTTAGCTTCTCAAAATTGGTTGAGTCTATGTCCTTCTGATAAAGTCATATTGATATATAATTAATGTGTAATATAGTCAACAAGCATTCACCTAGTGTTAGACAATTAATGAAGTTTGCTAATCAATTAATTGTCAGACTCATTACTGAATAATATTAAACTAATTGACTTTTTCATACGATACTAATCTTCTTATTTTAATTTTGTTTTGGGATTTTTAAAGACCTTTTCTAACCAACATTTGTTTAGTATAATATTTAAGTTAGTTTTTTAATCATAAACTTTTATACATAAAAAATGTCATACACACATTGTAGTACAAAACTTGTAACAAGATTAAGATAAGTTTAATACCATTCCGGGGTTCTCATAATACATTTTTACAAAACTTCAACTTCAAGACTGATATTAATTGGTGATAAAGCACAATAACAAATTGTGCAGTCACGTGAAGAATGTAAAACACATCTATACACAAGAATTGCCAATCGAGAAAGTGAGGATGGTGCAGCAAGGGTAGAGGGAGCTACCTGCACTAATATGGAGGGCTCAATGGAATTGGTGGAGGGTGGTCATGTGATCAGCACATGTTGCTGCGATGATGCAAAAAATATAGGGGTATCAAATACTGGTACTCTTTTAAAAAAATTATCAATGCCTAAAGGGCAAATGAAGGTCGAGTTAGCTATGGGTGAGTGAAGGTAGTACTGTTTTGGAAAGAACACATTAAGACAATTAATATGTTTACATTTTACAGTACAGGCCACAAGAAGGTTTACAAACAAGAGAAGTCAATAAATCAAATAACTTTAAAAGTTTACTGTAGTAGTCAGTGTTTAAGCAGCCAGTACTATTAAACAGGAATCTTCTTCATGTAAAAAGATTAACAATTTTACAGTTTTAGATATTATTATCTGTAAATTTTGATAAAAACTGTTAAATGAGCAAGTTATTCAGTAATCAAAATGTTTTTGAGTGAATAAAGAATAATGAATATTAACTCAGTGTAATTTTTTAAAGCAATCTTACCTTAAGTAACATTAGTTCTGTTTATGTCAAGAGGTAAATGACTTTAATAACAGTGTTACAAATTGTCAAACTGTTATTGGTTCATGTCAAGTAATTTTTGCCAATTCATCAAAAAATGTTGTTTTCAAGTGAAAATGGAATAATAAATATTAACTTGATGTAATTTTTTCATTAAAGCAATTTTACCTTAAGTAACATTGGTTTTGTTTGTGTAAAAAGGCAAACAACTTTAATAACGGTGTTGTATGTTATTAAACTGTTATTAGTTCATGTTGTGTAACTTTTGCTAATTCAGTAATCAAAGTTCTTTTCAAGTGAAAGTGGAATAATGAATAGTAACTTGCAGTAACTTTTTATATTAAAGCAATCTTACCACAAGTAACATTGGTTGTTATGTTTACAGCCTGTAATAAGTAAGCTATATATTAAATTAAATATACATTATTATTGACTTCAAACAAGGTAAACATGACCAACAGGCATCAATGTGGCAATATTCTGATTACTTGGATAGTAAGAATAATAAAAAATAGTAATAACTGAAAACATTAACTTCAATTAGTTGGCAAATTTCATGAATCATGACACTAATTGATCAAGCTGAAAAAACTTGAATTAATCAAAAATAATAATGAGAAATCACAATGACAATATTTTGATCACTTGGCTTGTTGGAATAATTAAAAAGAGTAATAACCATAAACACTGATTTCAATTAAACAATTTATTATAAGTTTAAATTTTTTAATTTGAAAAGGAAATATTTCCATAAACTCTCAATCTTCATTTCTATGTGTCATGTAATGCCTCTATGCTCAGAGTTATCTGTTTTAAATTTTCTTTCTTCCCTTATATGGGTTTCAGAATGTCCAACAATTAGACACACCAAATACAGATGTTGACAAACAAGGAATTAAAATAAGAACCTCCCATGTTCGTTATATTCTGGGATATAAATAAAATTACTACACCAACCATAGGAGCTCCTCCCAACTCTTCTTGTTTTTGAAATTACTTGTTTACTCATGCTCATTTGTCAATGGTAAATTTTTTATAACCAACAGAAAATCCATTTTGTGAACTATGTGATTATGAAGTTTTTATGATAACTTCATTCAGTACAAGGTACTGTTTCCCAAGCAGATCCTGTAAATGATGAAAATTTTTTGAATCTTTTTATATGTCAGTTATAAAGTTAGATAAATTACAGTAGCATTGTAGCATTCGTTTTACTATTTGAATCATTCTTTGTGTTTCAGAATGCATAATTGAAGGTTCATGAATCATTTTGGGATAACCAAGTTAGTGAGAAAAATTCAGGGTTAATGAAGACTGACTTTCAAAAGCAAAATGCCTCACTTCTAAAGAAAGTACTAAGCTTCGTATTTTTATGTATAGTTTTTTTTTGTTTATTAATATACATTTCTAAACAAAATAACTAAAATGTAAAAACTTAAAATTTACTAGGTTAGATAAAAACGCAAATAAAAAAAATTAAATTTTTTTGCCTCAAGGAATGCATGAGGAACATACATACTTAACCACCCCATAATGTAACCTAGAAATTTGTTTACCCTAAACTCTTCACACTCCCACCGGGTGATTTAGTGCTACTTATTTTAATTATACATTGTTCAAAGAGCAATAAAATTAAATTAAAAAAAGATGTAAACTTTTACAAGCCAAAGGCTGTTTAGGATAAATAGTTGTAGCTTTCTGTTGCAATCTGTAGTAATTTTAAAAAGAAAAAGGTAATTAAGATTATCTCATATTTTTTGTGGTGGTTACAAGGTCAGTCAAATTCAATAAGTGTACGATGAAAAAAGTATTTTTACTCAACATGAAAATCAGACTAGTTGGAGTCTTACTCAAGACTGAGTGAAGTAAATTCAGAGAGAAAACTTTCATAAAAATACTTTATTAAAAAATCTGTATTTTGTGTACAACATACTTGTAATATTTACTGAGACTTTACAAAATTTCCTTAAGATACACAACATAAATCCAGAATTATAATAAGCAATATTTCTCTAATATGTACTTGGTTCAATGGACTGATCCTCTGCACTTTATCCAGACCACATCCTTAACTTTTGAAGGTTCTAGTAAATGGTTACTAGTTTTATACCCCCCCCCCTTATCAAATTTGAGGTTGATACTAGCAAACAACATTACTCTTCTCTAAAATTAACAAACTGCATCATAATTAATTCACATCTTAAAAGGCATATATATATTATTTTTATGTATAAATCTACTGTATCCTATTTTCTTTTCAAATATTCTCAAATATCAAAGGCCATTTTAATCACTGTAACAGTTCCTATCTTAACTATATCACAAAAGTTAAAAGATTCGTGATTTGGGCAGAACCTGGTGTACTAAGACCAAGAGTGCCTGGATGGACAAAATCTACAGAACCCCTCTACTTGTGGTCACGCAGTACTAAAAAGTATTTTATTTTTAAAAAGTACTGAAGGCCAAAAGCTGTCAAAGCATTAGAAGCCAATAGGCCTGACATTTGTGTTCATCATGGACAAGTTAAGAAAAATATGGAAAAAACGTCTGCAATTTAGATGATTTATATTTTATTATTACCTCCAATGAGCAACCATTTTGGCACAGTATTTCTAACTGTGCTACCAATCAAATGAATTAAAGCTGCAGTCTTGCTATCTCCTATTTCCTGATACTTAGCATGGGTATGCTATGCAGTACAAATGGGATCACATAATATGACTGTTACACTGACAAGTAAAAAAAAATCTTCACAATTATAGTAAGTTCTGTGCTCAGAATCTTGCAATATAAATGACTGATATACATGTATCATGGGTGTATTGATTTTTCAACAGTAAGAATCTGCATATCTTCCTTCTGTAATGTATACTAGCAATGTTTTCTAATCTTTACTAGTCAATCTGTAACACTAACCATCAATTTGCTACTTAGTTAGCATTAATTTCAAGTTCTGTTATCTGAATTTCATTTTTTGTTAATACATTACTCTTATACATGAAGATAAATACTCATGGTTAGCTTTTCTAGTAACATTTTTTTGAAAACCAGATGGGGTAATTTTTTTTTCATCAATTGCTGTACGAAATTACATAAAACACTCATTATCTTGTTTGACTTAAAAAAACTGTCCTTCAAATTAGTTAGTTTGGTGAATAAATTATAGCCCAAATAATGTTTACATAAAAAAAAAGGGAATCGACATATAAAATATATTAATGTTAATCCAAACAGTAATCACATGAAAACATTAACACAAAGAATAATTTATTCACTTACTGATGATGTGGAGAAATCACAGGAAATCACTGGATACACCAATTCCAAATTCAAAAAAGGAGAATAAATAGGCAAAATTAATAAAAACAATTAAAGTACCTCAAAACAGTGGTAGCTTATTTGCAGAAAATTAAACAAATAAAAATAAAGATAAATTATAAACTTAAAAATAAAATTTTAAAAAGTCTAAAATGAAAAGCAAAAAAATTAGATGATCTTCAAATTAATTAAGTCTCTCACAAATAAACGTAAAACTTAACAGTTCATACAGTAACCAGTTGTCTGCATTTTTACTTCTTGTAGTAAAAACATCTTAGTAATTTCAAAAACCATCTTATGTTTTAGTACTTCTTCTTTTTCTAGAATTATTCAAATAGGAAATCCCAATATAATTACTGAATGACAAGATTGAAGTAGAAATAACAGTGTTGGGCTGAGCATCTGGTATTAATATCTTCTTCATTTTCTAGATAAGCTTATCATTAATTAGTGCAATGTAGGAAACATCCATTTTCTGAGTAAGTCACATGAAATTGATCATCTCGGTATTTCTCCTTTCATGATGTATTTTGCATGTTGACAACCTAATTTATTACACCATGCTTTTTAAATGGTAAATCATAGCAGTACACCTGTATTTATAATAATAGAAATTTCATCTCTGAATACTGATGATAGATAATGGAATTGAATTTTAAATTCAAAAGTGGTATCTATTGGGCTAAGTGGATTTTGTCATTTAGAAATCTATAGTATATGAACTTCATTGATTAAAGATGTATTATATGTACATGACAGAAGTAATAGAAAAGAACTAATCATGAATGTACCTGCTACTAAGATAACTAGTTTTATTGGTGATAGGTTAAAGACAACTTAAGCTGTAAACAACGAAGGAATAGCGTGTGAAAGGATACGTCTTTCTTACTTTCACATGAAGAACAATGGTGTTTACAGAAGTTTCAACACAACAAAGAATTTTTTTTATAAAATGCAAAGTATTGTCTTCCTCAATATCACACCACTTAAAACTATAACTGTTTGTGCTGTTTCCTTAGATGGTGAGATAGAACAGGTTTCTCTTTTAAACTTGTGAAAGTTGAAAAGAAAAGCTGTGAAGTAGACTCCTATTAAATGTTAGAATTCAGGTTTAGCAACCTTTACTCCGTTGTCTCTAAGTATCATTACAGGAATTTAGTTTGAAGAATCTAAATATTCAAAAATCCAGAAATTCACAAAATAAAATATGAATACAAAGAAATACATAGAAATGAGAAGTTCCAAAAAGCAAAGAGCATGCCACAATTAATCTTCAATATTTTGTCAAAATTTTGAAATTACTGCAATCACAGATGTAAGGGAATTTTTTCAATGTATCACTGAATTTAAATTTGTTTATCACTTCTCTAAATGTTGAAAACATAAATAAAAGTGATTTAAATTCCATCCATTAGATGATTATATTATAATTTTTTTATGGAAACCTTTATCAATTTGAAACTAATTAATTGAAAAAAAAAGTTATTTCATAAATGCCTAAACATATTTCTTAGGGAACAACATCATGGTTCATAATAATCACATTTTTTCATACTATTCCACATCAGAGGAATATGAAGGTGTGATTATTTTAGGCTATTACTAGAAAAAATTTATAATAAAAGAAAAAATATATACGTGTACAAACCATAGTCACGAAAGCACATATTATATTATCATTCACATGTTAAACTTTCCAACTCCCCTTTTCACAATTGTAATTTACATAAATAAACATACCATACACTTTCAATGTGCAACAACAAGCAATTTTCTTTTACCTATGGTTTTCTACACCCTACATCTTGTTGCTTCTTAAACAATTGCTATAATAGTGTTGCTACTAATTCTTTGTATATCTTAGTCCAGCTGGTTTGATAAGCTCTGGTATTGAGCAAAAGCTCTCATCAGCATCTCAATAAAAAAGTAGCTTCTTGTCACTTGTATGTCATAACACGTGTATGGTCAACACAAGTCTCATTTTAAAATGTATTGTTTTTTACATAATTGTATTCTGTACATCACAATAATTATTCTGATCTGCAATAATAATTACCTATGTCTTCACTTGTTGGAGGACCCTTTTCATAAAAAATTCGTATGTTAAACAAAAAATGACGTTGACTGTCTCCGTGTTCTGACCAAAAGGACCGATCTGGATCAAAACTGGAGAAATTTGGTATTTTCATTTCCTTACTTTCTACTGTCAAGACTCTTCCTACAAAGTAAACAATAACAAATAAACTAAATAAGCAAACACACACATGCACATATATAGATATATATATATATTAAACTTAAATATTAAAAGTTAAATGAAGTTCTATCTGACAAGAGGCTTCCCAGTCTATTTTAAAGAATGATAAACAGTAGCAAGAAAACACAGACTATTATATGTTTATTGGCCAGAAAAATGTTTTTATAGGTTTTCTGCCTAATCTATTTGACAAACAACTAATTTTCCAACCTGAACCATTCATCAAATCACAATATTATTGGGACCAAAATAGGTTTCTTATTTTTTCCAAAAATTATAAGGCTTTGTTTAGCATTACAGTGAAGCTTTTTATCTTTTTTCTCCAAAGTCCTGTTTTTTACCATATTTTCATGAAAACAATAATACATACAAAAAAACAAAGACAGAGTATATGTTTTTAATAGGTTCATTGAGAGACCTTATGATAATGCATCACATACTTTGTTCTATTACATTCCTAATGTTCATTTCAAGACAATAAATCTTATGTAGTTAATCTTATAAAATCACTGTATTTTATTAGTGTGAAAGTAATTAAATACCATGTAGAAGTATCTAATGAAGTACTACTGTCTTACTAAGTTTCTGAACAATGATCTTCATGTTTGTAGTGGTAATCTAAAATTTCATTGACAGCCTTCTGTGATGGTGAGCTGTTTGATCCAAGCTTTAATGATTGGGCTAGAGTTTAATTTCCTGATTAAAAGATTTAACTCTAAACACACTGATATTACATTACCAAGTACTGTGACTTCCCTTACAGGAACCTGGTCAAGTATATATATATTTTGTGATTTCATTCAAATGGCATTTTTTTATTTGATTGATTAATGTTTGAACATTAGGCTTTATCTAGTATTTTCTAATTCTCCTGGTTTATAGAGCTGCTTACAGTGAAATCATGTTCATCTACAGCTAAATTCACATGTTTGATGGGAACTGCACTGGTGCATGATTCATCATGCAACAAGTCCTCCACCAATATGAAGACAACACAACCTCCATGTGCAGTAACTCCTCCAATGTACTTGCACTCATGACAATTTCATCCTTTTGCTAGGCAAGACAAGTGGGGAGAACAGGTGGGAATGAGTGAAGATACGAGTATGTATTGAAAAGTTAACATTTTCCTTATATGAAAACGTTAACTTTTGAGATAAATCGCGCACACAGAAATGCTAGATTCCCATGTTGAAATAGTGGAGGTGCCAGTACAAAATTTTACCTAGATGACCTCCCTTCTGAAAGTGCCCAAAGAGAAGACCATGGAATGTGCCACGTGATGGCAAGGGCTCCACAGGAGTACACCAGTGGAAGACCACATCTTGTCTTCTCCAAGATATACTCTTCACCTGGAGTGTAAAGGGAGAAAAGGAAAATGAACCCCAAGTGTTGCAAAGATGAGCAGAATGATAACACAACTGTCCAAGCACTTGCACGTAAGCAGTAGACAAGCCAATATGTGTAGTGTAGTTGGGGAGAAGAAGGACGGTATCATGTGTACACACCTCGACTGTACTGAACAGGCTATAGTTGCAAGAGGAGAGCAAATTAATTTTGTGGTACATTTTTTGAGGGATCTTCACTACACTGACAGTGTTACCACCTCCAATTCTCACCAAATTGTGCTAAACCCAATTGATGACGAAACTGGTAAGTGGCAAGTCTCCCATGTTCCACTCAAAGAAAAAAGGAAGCTACCTGCACAAGTATAGGTGGCCCAGTATGATTGGTGAAGTATAGTCACAAGAAATGGTGCAAAAATAAAGGGGTATTATAGACTGGTGCACTATTAGTGAAAAATTATTTTGGAAATTCTTAGAGGGCAAATCAAGGTCGAGATAGCTTTGGGTGAGAGAGAAAGGTAGTACAGTTTTGGAATTTTCCATGATATTCCATGGAATCGGTCTGGTCTGGATCGGACAACTGAGTCAGTATGTATACCATGAGAATACCTCAAGTGCTCTTGTAGAACACCTCATTTCACAGTGAGCATTAGTAAAGTCAAAGTGGATGATTTGAGCATTATCCTGACTTGATGCAGATTTTGGGAAATAAGCATACACTAGGAGGCAACACCAGCCACCTGGCGAGATTCTAATAAATGTTAAGAAGAGCTGAAAAAGAAAATGACTTACTCCTCTCAAAGATGGTAGGTTGACTGAAGAATAGTGACCAGTAAAAGTCTAAATCCAGCAGGAGACAACCACAATGTGTAGATAATGAGACACGAACATGTGGGGAGTCATCCACATACCCACTTGGAGAATCTTGTTCAAAGAACAGCAAAAGTGGGAAGCAAGAGAATGCATCAGATGACAAATCGATTGTGAAGAAGTGAGAAATAGCATGTGAGCATCCACATCCATAAACAAATATATCAATTGCAAGAGTCAATGGACCCATCCAGTAAAGGCAGAAGGAAAGGCCCAGGGAAGAAAAGGGTCCCAGAGTAAGAACAGACTATGGAAGGGATCCTGAATGGGAGAAATGAGTGATAAGAAACACTGAACAGCCCAAACACAATACAGGAGGTAATCCAGGTTTGAATCATCATTTTGTTGAGAGAAAGAAGAAAAGGAGATATGAGCGAAATTATCGTTACTTTAACAAGTGGTAGAAGTCTTAGGAAGGAAAGATCAATCTGGGTAAAGGAGCACATAAGTGCAGTGGAAGAGGATGTGAGAAGCCTCAATAGTGTAGACTTCCAAACAATGGCAAGTGCAAACAACAAAAGGGAGGAAATAAGTCTGAAGAAAAAATGGTGTAATGAGCAATAGCATGAGAGTTGGGTGAGAATATCAGAAAATAATGAAGGAGCAGGAAAGAGGAAGAAACATCCTGTAGCACTAGGAAAAACAAAATGCAATGGACAAGACCACCTGATAATCAGCAATGGTGAAGACAAACCATGGACTAACAGCCAGGAAAAAGGCAGAAAGGTGGTTCCCTTTAGGACAGCCAGAAGGAAAAGTGGTGGGCAGGCAAACTTTTGTTGACAGACATATAGTGAAGGGCAACAGGAATGTGATAACAAGAATGACACATGATCGGACAGTCCAGCGTATAGAACAACAGACCAGACAAATCCTACATATAAAGATGCAGGGGTGATAGCCTTCAATGAAAAAAATAAAATGTGTGAGGTTGAAGTAATAGAGAGGGGATATTGGGTAGAAGAAGGGGTGTCTGGGTGCTAAGTGAAGAAGCAGAGAAAACCAAGGTTGAGCTGCCAAACAAAACCCAACAAGGAATGTTGCATATCAATGTGAGAACCTGAAGAGGAGGAAAGATGTATTGAAAGAGGTGAGACCAGGCTTGGCTGAGAGCATCAACAGCCAGAACCAAAAGATAAGGAACAGGAGACCAGTAGAGAGAGAGGAAGCCTGGAGTTGAGAAGAATGGTAAAGGCATCTATGAAAGGTATGCCCAACCGAAAGAAACCTAGCAAAAGATGTCGGGGTGTAGAAATTGGCCTTAACCTTATCGCTAAAAGTTTTCCTATGGTCAGGGGTCAAAGGTCATGCTATCACGTTTGTAGACTTGCATTCATAATTTTATTGAACTACTATTTTATGAAAGGTTGATATCAAATTGTAGATTATAATTTAAATTTCAATATTATACATTAGTTAATTTCTTAATTTAAAAATAAATATAAAAAAATTCCTAAGTATCGATCTTTGTGTGTCACATGGTATGTTGAATGCAGCTTTGGTTCAAATTAGATGTTTGTGATGTCCAACTACAAAGTCTATGGTTTCTCATATAGTCTACACCAACATTTACAGTCCCTTTGTCTGTCTCTTTTTGCATAGGGTCTCCAGTACGGCTTCACCTTGACAGAATCCTTTGTCTTTCTTGATCTTGTGTTTGACTTCCTCTGTATTTATCTGTATCGTTTGGTAATCTCTTCAAACAGAATGTGTCAAGTAACTAGGGTTATTCAAACCACCTGTACTGTAAATTATTACATACATTCACTATTAGTGGCAATTAATTTTGTCTGTATAGTGAAACAACATACAAGAACATATGTCGAAATAAACTTTTTTGAAAGTTCAAAGAAATTATATTGAAGTACCGAAAAGCTTTCTTACTATCATATCTACAGTAATGTTCAAATGCGCCTGTGCTGAACTGAACAAGAGCGACCACCAACAGGCATGATAGTTCACACTGTTAACCTCACGATTTTTTCAGCACAATAAACAAAAGTACGGTTGCAATGAAACATAAACATAAACTTGAAATAAAAATACATTTATGAAACAAAATTAAAATGTTTTTTATGTACATATATAAACATGAAATCCTAGTTAAAAATAAAAATACTTGTTTATTGTTTAGGTTTACTTAGAAATATTATTTTTGGGTCTTGTATATTACTTGAAACCATAAGGAGAGTACGTGATTATTAAACAAATTTAGAATAGACAAAATTTGCATTTTGTGAATGATAAAAAGTTTTTAATGATTTTGAAATAATGCACTAAAACATAAAAAGTAATAAGTTCAAATCTGGAACAAATATAACTGTCGTAATCATTTCTTACATATACCATTTCCTAATGTAATTTTCCAAGATATTTATTAAAGATCATAATAAAAAAACTAAATTTATCAAAGTAACAGGCTTTATGTTTCTTAAACTATGTGCATTATGAAAGTTCTTATAAAGTTTCAAACAATTTCATTAACTAGTTTTATTGTTGGAATGAAATATAGCAAGACTTGTGTTGGCTACTGAGAAAGTTAGTAGCCGGTGGTCATTGGGTTAATTTGTAGAGATAATAGATTCGTACCTGGCATAGATTTAACAATGGATCCAACCTTTGAGTGTCCAAATATATATCATCCTGACGATGATATGCCAAGGAATGTTGTTCAGAAATTTGGGGGGGAGGCATAGCGACACACTCACGTAATTGTGTTGCAAACCTTCCTGCATACACAGCAACATCAGG